TATTACTACTTTACTATTAAATAAAAGGTAAAGTAGCTTATACACTAGTATGTCTAATTAGTAATAATCTTCTAAGACTTATAAATAAGCTTAAAGTAAATAAATATTACACTAGTGTACTTATCTTATAATAATAACTTTAGCGCTTATAATATTCTTATTATAAACACTACCTTATACTATAGTAACGCTACATACTTTATACTTATGCTAGGTAAAAACTTTTATGCTAACACTACCTTATATTTAAGTAGTTATACATGTAATGTATATAATAACTTTAACCTACAAGCTACCTAGTTAATAAAAATAGTTTAATAGACATAGTTTAATAAACATAGTCTAATAGACACAGTTTAATAGACATAGCTTTATAAAAATACTAAAATAAAAATGCTTTAATAGACACACTTTAATAAACTCACTTTAATAGACATAGTTTAATAGACACACTTTAATAAACATAATTTAATAGACATAGTTTAATAGACATAGCTTTATAAAAATGCTAGAATAGAAACACTTTAATAGACACAGTTTAATAGACGCAGTTTAATAGACACAGTTTAATAGACGCAGTTTAATAGACACAGTTTAATAGACGCAGTTTAATAGACACAGCTTTATAAAAATGCTAGAGTAGAAACGCTTTAATAAACACACTTTAATAAACACAGTCTAATAAACATAGTTTAATAGACATAGCTTTATAAAAATGCTAGAATAAAAACACTTTAATAGACACGCTTTAATAGACATACTTTAATAAACATACTTTAATAAACATAGTTTAATAGACATAGTTTAATAGATATAGCTTTATAAAAATGCTAGAATTAAAACACTTTAATAAAAACGCTTTAATAAAAGCGCTTTAAGAAATGCTTATAGATAGGCTTTTTTAATGTTATATATAACTCTATAATTCTACTGTCTACAAACTCCTGTAAACTTGTACAAACTTTTAAAAACTTTTATAGACTTCTAGAAACTTCTATAGACTCTTAGAAACTTTTATAGACTCTAGGAAACTTCTGTAGACTTCTAAAAACTTTTTATGTAATTATAAAAGGCTATTAATTATTAAAACTTTTATTAGCTTCTAATCTAATTAGTAGCACTACTAGTAATTACTAGGTCTATAATTACATTAAACTTATCTCTAACTATGCGCGTGTACTTAGTAATATTAGTAAACTTAGAATTATCTATAGTGTTAAGTTAGGCAGTTAGATATAAAAGGTCTATAAAGCCTTAAAGCTGCACATGCGCGCAGTTAAATTTATTAACCTCTACCTTAAGCATATCTATTCTAGTAGTGTATATATTAAATAAGTTAAAGAACTTATAGCTTACTAAATTATTTAGGTTTTAAAGCACTACTAATTAATTTATAATAAATGTTTAAGCTAAAAGAAACATGTTTTAAATAGTAATAGTAAAAGTATAACTACTAAGCATATCTTTACTAAAGACCTTTTTTAACACTATCTACACTTTTCTTACTTAAACATTATAAAGGTAAGTTTAGTTAAACACTTAATTAATATTATATATAAAGTTTTTATAGTTCTTTAAATTAATTTTACAGCTATAGTTAAAATACTTTAGGCCTAGATTAATTAGCTTAAACATGTTTTTCTATTTATACTAGTTTATAAGACTAGATGCAAGGATAGCATGCTGTAACTTTATAGTGTTAGCTAGCAAAAGAAGCTAGTAATACTAAAGCATTTTCTAGCTATAATTTGTCTACTTAGCGCTAAAGAAAATAATAATAAAAGAATCTATAAAGTGTTATAATATGCTAATATTACTATACCTAACAGTATAGTGTACTGTAAGGAAGAGCTTAATCTTCTAAAGCATGTAACACATAGTACAGAACTTAACATTATCTACACTAGCGCTAGAACTTTACACCTAACACCTAAAAGTAATAGTGTGTATGTTTTTAACTAACTATAAAAAATTATTTACTAAAAGATTTTTAATAGTGTTTTTTATATAACTAAAGCGCTTTAAAAAAAACTTATTAGTTATATGTTTTAAAAAAAAGTGTTAGTGTTACATAGTAGTATAGAATAGTATAGTAACATAGAATATAAACCTCTAAATAACTAATAGTTTTAGCAGATAGTATTTACTATTATTCTATGTAAGCTGCATTTAACACTACATAATAACATCTAACTTAATAGTATAGTGTGCAACTTTATTTACTATAACTAGGCTTTAATATGTTTAGCTAATAGTTAATAAAAAGTTTATTTACATATAAAACTATATAGGAACACTAAGTAACTACTACTTTTTATTATATAGTTAAGTTACTTAAACTTGTTTACTTTATATTAAGTAAATATTACACACTATAAGCTAATTACTATAGCATAACTAAAAGTAATTATTAAAATTATTACTAAAAATATTAGTAAAGTTATTAAGTATGTTTAAACTTAATTAATCTAGCTAAATAGTATTATAGACTTTATAAGTTTTACTAATAAACTTTTTTTTATTAAATATAGCACTTAACTAATAATACTTAGTCTTAACTAAAAGTAAGTAGTCTAAAATAGAGAATACTAGGTATTTAAAAAATGCTTTACTACTAAAAACATGTAATATAGCTCTTAGGTAAAAACACTTAATTAAATTAGTAATAAGACTTTAAAATATGTTATTATTAATACTATCTAGCCTATCTAATCTAGGGCTAAGTATAATGTCTTTAAAATCTAAAGAAACTGCTAGGTTGTGCATAGACTAAGTAAGACTAGACTTAGGTAGCTTAGAAGCTAAAATAGCTACAGCATTTATTATGCTTTGCATAGTAGCTGTATAGCCTGCCTTCTTATAGCGCGTGTAATCTATAAAGTTAATGTTGTTATATATAAGTACTAGCTTTAAGTTTTTTATAAAAACTTATAATTTATTTTTTTTAGCACTATTAGTTTTATTAGCTTAAAAGTTTATAAGTAATTTTAGAAGTTTTAGAAGTTCTAGAAGTTTTAAAAGTTTTAGAAGTTTTAGAAGTATTAAAAGTATTAAAAGTATTAGAAGTATTAAAAGTACTAGATAGTATATATACTTAAGCTTTTTCTACAACTTTATTTATTAGCTTATTAGTATAATAATATAAATAATATAACTTAAATCTACTTAAGACTTTAATTACACAACACTTTATTTTAGACTTAATAAAATAAGTATCTAGCGTAAATGCTAAAGTGTTTAATCTCTTCTTAGCCTAAAAAAAGTATATAATACTAGTAATAATAAACACACGCTTTTTAATTGCATTAGACTTATTAGCACTCTAGTAGCTTACATATCTCTAGCGTAAATTACATAATATACTTATAATAAAGTTATACTAAGTTAGTGCTTAATTCTAGATAGTTTAACTAGCATTATTAAAGTTAAGTGTTAATATATTTATATTAAAATTAAAATTTTTAAAGTATATTTTTTATACTAGCTAATTTAGCTCTAAAGTGTAATAATTTATTACATTTTTTATATAAAAAACTTTTATTTTAAAAAGTAAGTTTATTAAAGTCTTTAGCATATGCTGCCTATTACACACTTTATAATACTAGTAATGCTAAAGAAGTGTATTATTCTTTTTATTATTTACTTATTCTAGCATAAAGTTTTAAAAGCTTTATTAGACAGTCTGCAATGTGTCTACTATATACTGTAACTTTTTATGCTGCAACATAGAACTACAACGCTGCGTAGAGGCGCTAGAGATCTTACTTGCCTAGGTAAAGTTACTAAAAGCACCTATATTATTATTATAGTTTATAGGTTAATTTAGCATAAACATATTTTTATTTTATTTAATTAAAAAGTTACTTATTAGCTAAAAAAGCTTAGGAGGTAGGCTTAATAATAAAAAAAAGTTACTAAATAAAGCTATAGTTAGCGCGTTTGCTAGTGCGTCTACTAGCATGTTAGATAGAGTGCTAGCATTATCTATATTTAATATATATTATAAAGCAAAACAAGCGCTTTATAGTAATAGTAATTTTAAGAATTTTAACATAGTATTAGAGGGTAAAGTACACTATTAAAGATAGCAACACTAATAGCTAATAAATAAATTAAAATATATATAAATAACTACTATTTTCTTTTAAACTTTTAAGATAGAATTACCTCTCTTTTATTTAGTGTGTTCTAATTAGTTTAGAAGTTTCTAGAAGTTCTTAGAAGTTTTAATTAGCTTAGAAGTTTTAAAAGTTCTGTCTATTTCTAAATAAGTTAAGGGCGATTCTAGGTTAAGGGTCTGACTCGTGAGATAAGTCGTGGGTAACTTCGACAAGTCCTTTAGCTTTACAGGATCATCCATGCAACGTGAAGTTGCAGAGCGGAGTTTTGATGCGCCGTGGTTCGATGGTCAGGCAGCCTTCCTATTCGCTCGAAAGTGAACTCGCACAAGGATGAATCGACAAGAATTTCTTTGCGACAAGGGATGACGTCACAGATGGAATTTCGATGACTGGAACTGCGCGATGACCGTCTAAAAGTTTTGGGGGCCCCTTGGCGAACCACGGTCGCTCCTTCATGGCAAAGCTTAGACAAGCTTCAACTTTGTGCAAATATCAAAATGGGTTTTGGCTTGTGTCTGGTTGTCACGAATGTTTTATATCTCGAGGAATTGCAATCTCTCCTCATTTTGGCACGCTGGCCACGAATGTGAACACCAACATACAAAATGGGATAGACGTCACTTCTCTCCGTGCCCTGTTCGGATCCACACCATTCCCGAGGTCTCTCGGACTCTCGCGGCTCGTGCTCCTCTGACCCACAGTTCTGTGCAACTTGCAACCGTTTGACGCCATTTGACAGGCTCAAACTACGCGAGATCCTTTTGTCGCCTTCCATGGCTTGCAGACCAGTCGAACTTCCGTCGGCTAGAATATGTGAGATGACGAAATATCACCAATGCCCGTGACCTCTTTCCTTCTCATCCCCCCTCTCTTAGTTTTCTAACCGTCTCAGTATTTACCTCTTAGTTGCCTCTTCTCATTGTGAACAGCTTTCCTTCTCCTCATCTCTCCAGACTTGAACCCTGCAATCAAGACCAGGGAGGGAGGAGTTCTGGAGCTATTAATATTAATCGTTGTACCCACAATCTTCCCCTGCCATTCGTGTATACACCTCCAACCTCGACCATAACCATGACAGACAACCAGGTGGCATTCAACGAGCCAAACTTTAGCAACTCTAATGGCAATGAGGCTGAGAAGAAGTCCGAGATCACCGATGATGATGATGCGCACAACGAGACCCACGAGAACACCGATGCTGGATCCACATCCGATGAAGACCGAAAGTTCCACGAAAAGTATGGAACTTATGACCGCTATGAGATCACTGAAGAAGATTGCTATGATGAACTCGGATTCAGCTATCCTACTTGGAAGAAATGGATGATTATCACGGTTGTATTTCTTGTCCAAGTTTCTATGAACTTCAACACTTCGCTTTATTCCAATGCCATTACCGGGATCTCCGAAGAGTTCAGTGTGAGCACTCAAGCAGCAAGAGTGGGTGCTGCCATCTTCCTCATTACGTATGCTTTTGGTTGCGAGCTCTGGGCTCCCTGGTCTGAGGAACTTGGTCGCTGGCCGATTATGCAGCTCTCGCTATTCCTCGTCAACATTTGGCAAATTCCAGTGGGAATCGCTCCTAACTTTGGTACCATTCTAGTCTGTAGGGCCTTAGGCGGCTTTTCTTCTGCTGGCGGCTCTGTGACTCTAGGCATGGTGGCAGATATGTGGGAGGCTGATACACAACAATACGCTGTGGTATGTTAAAGATTCTCCTCGTGTCAAGCCTGGGCATGGAAACTTACTTTCTCAATTAGGCATATGTTGTCTTCTCTTCCGTTGGTGGTTCAGTCCTTGGACCCATTGTAGGCGGTTTTGTCGAGGCATTTCTCCCCTGGCGTTGGAATATCTGGATTCAACTCCTCTTCGGAGGAGCAGTACAAATTGCTCACTTTTTTCTTGTTCCCGAGACCCGCTCAACTGTCATGATGAACAAGATTGCCAAACGAAGGAGAAAAGAAGGGGAGAAGGACGGAAAGCCAGTCAATATTTGGGGACCCAATGAATTGACACCCTTCAAAAACCGTTTCTCGATGCGAGAAATCCTGATCACTTGGATCCGTCCATTCCGTATGTTCTTAACCGAACCAATCGTCCTGACGCTTTCGCTCTTGTCTGGCTTCTCCGATGCTCTCATCTTTATGTTCTTGCAATCCTACTCTTTGGTGTACAAGCAATGGGGATTTTCAACTGTAGCCATCGGCCTTTCGTTCATTCCCATTGGAATCGGGTATGTCCTTGCATGGCTTTCATTCATGCCCGCCATCAGACGCAATATCAAAGTGCGCCACAGCCGCCCCGAGGATGAAATAGCACAGTACGAATCACGCCTCTGGTGGCTCTTGTTTACAGCCCCTTGTCTACCTATTGGCCTGATTGGCTTCGCGTGGACGTCGACAGGCCCGCCCATCCACTGGATTGGATCTATGATCTTCAGCGCCGTCATCGGTATCGCAAACTACAGCATCTACATGGCCACTATCGACTACATGATTTGCGCATACGGACCTTACTCTGCATCTGCAACCGGAGGCAATGGATGGTCGCGTGACTTCCTCGCTGGTGTGCTGACACTGCCCGCGACACCTTTCTACGAGAATATTCCCAGCTCGAGCAATCCCAACCACCTAGCCTACGCTTCTACCATCCTCTTCTGCATTGCAGCTCTTTTAGTTGTCGCGGTGTATGTAATTTACTGGAAGGGGCCTGTCCTAAGGAAGCGCTCGCCATTCGCGCAACAGATTTCGAACGCCAGGCAAGAAACTGGAGGAAGAAGGGTTAGTGCTCTGCCTGGGTTGTATGGCTCAAGGCATAATTCAATTGTGCAAGGGGCAGGGGTCCCAGGGTCGAGGAGAGGGAGTGTCGTTCGCGGAGCTAGTTTCTCTGGGCGGTAGATGATGGATGGACAATGGAGAGTAGAAAGGCAGAGATTGGAAGGAGAGGGAATTGAGGAGAATGATGTTGACACAAGGGATTCAGAATTTACAAGTCCAGAAGTACCAATATATTCATCGCATTTCAATAAGAAAAAGCACTTGGAGACAAGAAACACCTTTTCCCGTGTCGGCCTTCAACTTGCAGAAATTATACTAGTCTGGATCAAGCTAGTAATCCCCGCTTGCCTCGGCTCGAACTGACATCCTTACTTCGACTCCCCAAGCGTGCCGATTGCTGAAGACTGACGATGTGCACCGAGGTAGCACTATGGATGGCCTTCATCCCCTGCAAGCTTCAATGCTTCCATCAATTGCCTGTTGCCGCAGAACTGCGAGACCTGGAAGGCTCAAAGAGCAAGGGAAGGGACCTCCCTGAGCTACCACTATGGCCGGAACACGAGCGATCAGAATTGCAGGTATATAATTCATATCGCTCTTTCGAAAATGATACTCACCGTAGCATAAGTGATGCTGATATCCTTCCTACAGGATGCTCCGGGTCCACTACCGACCGCCGTAATGCGATGACACTCCTTGCCTCCAATTACGAGAACGATCCGATAGATGTATTCGCAGGTGATTGGATGAGCGAAGGCAATATGACTGTGAGGGCGGGCAGTAAAATCGATGGTATGTCACTGTTCTGGTAGATTTGCTCGAAATTCAGGTCTGGAAATGCCAACTTAGGAGCAGGCCAAGTGGACGCCTACGAACCGACCTTCCTCGAAGCCCTTGAACCCGCGCTTCCTTATATCGCGAAGTATCGAATCAAAGTTGCTGTCAATGCTGGGGCCTCGGACACTAAGAAACTGCACGAAGTAGTCACAAAGATGGTCAAGACGAAAGGCCTGACCCTCAGTGTTGCGTGGATATCAGGAGACGAGGTCCTTCCACAACTTCTGGAAGCCCAGAAGCGGGGTGAGTTACCGTTCGAGAATATATGTACCGGAGAGAAACTGGAGGATTGGCAGTTTGAGCCGATATATGCTCAAGCTTATTTGGGAGGGCTGGGTATCGCAAAGGCCTTCGAGAATGGTGCCGATATCGTCGTCTGCGGTCGGGTGTCTGATGCAAGCCCTGTCATCGGTGCAGCATACTGGTGGCATACATGGCAGCGCTCTGATCTGGACAAGCTTGCAAACGCCTTCGTCGCGGGACATCTTTCCGAGTGCTCATCATACAGCACCGGCGGGAACTACAGCGGCTTCAAAGACCTAGAAACCCTTGGGTGGCAAAATATTGGCTACCCAATTGTCGAGATTTCTCACTCTGGAGAAGTTATCGTAACAAAAAATAAGGGGTCTGGGGGTGAAGTGTCCGTCAATACCTTAACCTCCCAGTTCCTCTACGAGATCCAGGGTCCCTGGTACTTTAACTCCGACGTCACCGCTATCCTCGATAACATCTGGTTCGAGCACCTCTCCACTAACCGGGTAGCTTTACGCGGAGTCAAGGGCGATCTCCCACCGCCAACTACCAAAGTAGGCATCACGGCAAAAGGAGGCTACCAAGCCGAAATGCATTGGTTCATCACCGGCCTCGACATCCCAGCCAAAGCCCGCATGGTCGAGACCCAAATCTGCACTCTCATGGGCCCCCACACATCGAACTTCTCCCATCTCTCTTTCCAAACCATCGGCTCCGTCCCTTTGAACCCTACAAACCAGAATTCCGCAACCGTAGATTTCCGCGTCATTGCACAAGCGCGAAAATCCGCGGACCTAGCCCCTGCGAAATTCGTCCGACCATGTATCGATCCGATTATGTGTGCCTACCCAGGTGCAACACCGCATCTCGATCTGCGACAAGCGTTTCCGAAGGAGATATTCGAGTACTACGTTACGCTTCTCCCGCAATCTTCTGTCTCTCACCAGGTGCATCTCCCTTCTGGTAAAATTTTAGATATTCCGCCGCCTTTCGAAGCGAAAGTATACCCGAAGCAACAACCTACACAAGATACCACAGCGCACGCCGTCGATCTTAAATCATTTGGCAAGACAGTGGAAAGTCCCATAGGCACCATCGTGCACGCACGTTCCGGCGACAAAGGCTCAGATTGCAATGTTGGGTTCTGGGTGCGGCATCAGGACGAATACGCATGGCTGCGTAATCTGCTTTCTGCACCGTTTATCAAGAAGCTTCTCGCCGAAGAATATAAGGGTGGCAGGGTTGAGAGATGCGAGTTCCCGGGTTTGCGGGCAGTGCACTTTCTGCTGAAGGATCATCTTGATCGGGGAGTGAGTTGTACAAGCAGTATTGACTTCCTGGGCAAGAACTGCGCGGAGTATTTAAGGTGTAGAGTTGTCGATGTACCGCAGAGGTTTCTTGCTAGGGGAAAGATTTAAGAGCAAAGCCAACATGCGCACATGCAATGGTCTATATCCTATTCGCATTTTGTGTAAGCTAGTGACATGTTTAGGTTTCTAAGCGTATTATCAGTCTTATTAATAAGGCAAATCAATTTGTGAAGGTTTGGTAAGGTTCTGAGTACATATATTGAAGTGCCTCGAATCTCCGAAACAGTTTAGAACCTTTGAAGGAATTTAAAAGAGTTTCAGTAGCAAGCGAGAAACCTCATCAGTAAAAAGTATATCAAGGATGGTTTCCTTTGTTCGACGTCAGCAGAATTGTCGTGTGCGAAATTCTCTGGATTCTTGGCAATGCCAAGTAACAACTTTCCCCTCACAAATCTCATAGACATGCAGGTCACTGCACATATCGCTCCATATAATCCGCCTCATGGGAGAAGGACGTTGTATAGTAAGTAAGGCTTTTTAATAGGCCCTATCCGCCCTATCTAACTGTTTTTTAGAGTAGTTACTGCTAATTGTACCCTAAATTGCTTACCTCTGTTATTAACATAAACAGATAGCTAGAAACGCTCCTGCTACTTATTAGTTAACTTTTAATAAATAAGGAGGTAACAGTTAGAGTATTATTGCGTTTAAAAAGCGCGCTGCGAGTACTCTAGCACCAGCTCCGCGCGGTAGGAACGCTGCACGCGGTGGGAGGGCTGGTAGAGTTGCGCAAGGTAGCTGTAAGGACGGAGCTCTGTACCACTACGCCAATACAACTAAAAAGGTGCGAATAATCAACCAACAGTTAATTATTGCGTACAGAATAGTATATATACCCGTCGCACGTAAGCACCATCTCGGCCTTACAGTAGCAGGCGTGCTGCGTTAACTCTAGCTCCTCTAAAAGCCTACTTTATCTTACCCTGGTACATCTAGCTGTGCGCGACAAGCTTATTA